AGGGCACCGGAATCAAATACAGTGAATACAGGGGTTATACCATGGGGGAAGAACATGCAAAAGAAGCAAAAAAAATCACATAGTACATTATACGTACATTAAAAACAGCAAGAAAGATAAAACCTCACAAGGAACTTTTGCAGCCGTGCATGGCTGCAGGAGATATTAGCGCTCTATCATAGGCCAGAATAGAAGGAATTTGTGTTTTTCAAACATATGAAACATAGCGATTCATACCTAGCATGCCAGCCCTTGGGCTGGCAGTGGCAGGAAGCAGTGGCCTGAGCCTGCATAGTGAGGCCCTTTTCAAAAACAAAAGAAAATAAAAATAAAAAAGGCTTTGGCCCTACTAAGGAGCCTCTACTTGAAATGACATGATAAAGCTAAAAGTAAACGTGAAACTATAACTACCATACAATAATCATATGCACCTAGGTGGGGAAAAAAAGCAAGTGAGTGTGAAAACCCTTCATGTTTCCCATCCCTTGTGAGGGTGTGAAAACCATGTAATGTTCCATCCTTCTCCAGCGTGCCTTTGGGTGGTGTTTCTCACAATGGAGGTCAGCATGGGGGAAGGAGGGAGGTGGCCAGATTAACTAAACTGGAGCTTGATTTTTGGTCGGTAGTGGGTCTTGAACTCTGGACCTGGGCTCTGTCCCTCAGCATTTCAGCTCAAGGCTAGCGCTCTACCACTTGAGCCACAGCGCCACTTCCAGTTTTCTAGTGCTTAATTGGAAATAAGAGTCTCATGGACTTTCTTGCCCAGGCTGGCTTTGAACCACGATCCTTAGATCTCACTCTCCTGAGTAGTTAGGATTACAGGCGTGAGCCACCAGTGCCGGACTAAACCAGAGCTTTACAGTCCCAGCAACACTTGGGAGAGATGGGTCCTTTGCTGTGGGACTGTCCTGCGTGCTGCCCATATTTAGAAATATCCCACACCCACCTCTACCTATGAGGGACCATGATAGCCAAAACATGTCTCCTGCATTGCCAAGTGCCAGAGGCTGAGGGTCAGGAAATACTTCTGCTTGGGAACCATTCAGGAAAACCTCAGTTTCTACTGCCTGGAAATGAAGCACCTGTGCCAGATGCTTGTGGCCCATCAGAATTTAGCCTCGCTAGCTTTCAAAGTGTGTTAACAGTACAGGTGAAAAATATCCATAGAGATTCGAGGGAATCAGTTGTTTGTTTTGTTTTGTCAAGGTCCTACCATATAGCCTAAGCTAGCCTTGAATGCATGATCCTCTGGCCTCAGTCTCCTGAGTGCTGAGATTGCAGGCATGCACCACTACCACAAAGGCAAAGGGAAGCATGGGAAGCTGCATGTTACCCATGCACTGCCTTCCTGATGTGGCGCCCTCTGTCCTGCTGACCCTAAAGGAGAACCAGCAGGAGCCTCCGAGAGAATGAGCATTTCTCTTTGACATCCAGGGTGTAGCTCCCAGGTGTATGAGTAATGCTGCCACCTGAAGCTTCTCTTAAGTCTCCAGAGAGAGAGAGAGAGAGAGAGAGAGAGAGAGAGCTGCAGGAAATTACAGTATATTGCAGGCTGCTTAGGCTGGCAAAAAGGAAAATCCTCTTCTTCAAAATAAAAGGGCTGGCAATTTTGCAATGCGCAGTTGACTTCACATAGCTTTCTTTGCAAAGAAACTTTTGCATGTGCTTCAAGGGGGGGCAGGGAGATCTGTTTTATCTCTATGTCTCCTCCATTATAAGGGGGATGCACACTTAGGATGCTGGTTTCTCCACGCTGTTCATCTGCGTGAACCCGCCACACACTATCAGTTCCTGGAGTGTTGGCTGCCCTCTCACCCTTCATCCTCGAACCCCAGACCTCTGCTTCTGCCAGAGAGGAGAGCCGTTTGGATAAGAGCCATCCATGTGCAGGTTGTTGGAGATGTGAGGTGAACTGTCTTGCATGTTTTTCTGAGTGCTCAGGAAAGCTTGAATCCAGGGTGGGAGACCGAGCACCTAAAAGCCTTACGGGAACTTGAAAGAAAACAGCTAACATTCCCCCAATTTTTTGTATCCCCATCAAACAGAAAGGGACAGGAAAAAACAGGTCTGCATAACATGTAGAATTTCTTTTAATGTTTTACTTACGCTTTTTAATCTGACTTCAAGAAGTAGAAACGGTTTCCGATGTTGGTAGTTATAGAGATTGGCTTTGTGAATAGCCATGTTCAACATCTCTTGGGAGGCTCTCATCGAATCTTCTTCTGGCCCTATGTAGAAGGTTTTAATAGTGTCCCTGAGATTTTGTCATTATTGTCACTGAGACTTCACTGATTTAAAAATTGTATTCAAGGATTTGGGAGTGATAAGGCATGTCTGTAATCCCTACTGTTTGAGAGACGGCTGGTCCAAGCAAAAAACTTGAGACCTTACCTGAAAAACAAACTAAAAGCCAAAGGACTAGACACATGACTCAAGTGATAGAGTACCTGCCTAAAAAATTTCATCAATCCCCTAAATTGCACCACCCCCAAATAGTATTTGAGGGCCCATGGGTCCTGAGGAGCAAAGACTTGAAATCATGTGTGTCTCTCTGGGGAGATTGACCTTCTTGCCTCCATCTCCTACCTCCCGGGCTCTCCAGTTTGGGAGCAAGTTGGAATCCTCCCAAGTCCCCTGAACACTCAGCTTGCTGACCTCTGCCCCAGCTTCACCATTTCTGATTCTGGAGTATCCTGAGCGTTTGATGCTCTAGTTCCCAAGAGCTGCTGATCTGCTGGCCCGGGACCCACGTTCTCCAAAGCCCATTACGCTACATGGCATTTTCTATGGAGCACTGCAAGCACTGGCTCTGGAATTGTCCTGTGGATGACCGAGGTTAGAACTGACCACTCACAACCAAACACCTTCGGTACCTGCCAAGGTGTTTCTTGAGCATCTCTGCTCAGAGGATGGCACCAGGAGACACCAGTAATTGGCCTGTTGGAGGTGTTATTCTGGTATTCCCTTGGCTGCCTGACACTTCCGGGACTGCTATCATTAAAAACCATCTATGTACCACCATGGTTTGTTCTTCCTAACAGCCATTTTTTTTTAATTCAGTAATTTTCCATCAACATGATGGCATTTCTTTTTCAAACCATCCTTGATACATTTTCCTTTGATGCAGTAAAACTTTGTGTATTTAGATTCTGTGTAAATGCCATAACTCTATCTTGGAAAATACCATCCAAATGCTAATACTAAAGGTGCATGCAGAGTAGATTTACTGAGAAGAAACATTGACAAAACTTGTGTCTGGAAAACTAATCCAGCAAGAACTCTTAAGGAAATTTTTTTTGGTGCCACCTATTCTTGGCAACAATCTTTTTTTTTTTTTTTTAGTTGTAAAAGAAACGTCATTTAGGTATTCCGATTACCATCCCGTTAAAAAACAACAGGCACTTTGAGAACAGATTGTGTGTCCTTCACCCTTTGAATCATGATGTTTCCCCTGAATTCATATTCTAAAGGCACATTTGAAACCTGAAATAAACCTGATTTACTTGTTGCTCTTCCGTCCTGCAGTCTCTCAAGCTACTTGGAAAGAGAAAGGCTTTGGTACTTTTCCTGTCTGCTACTAATAGCAAAGATAACAACATGGTGCGAAGCCAACAGTCAAATCCCCACCATTGTTCTAGAAATGGATTCAGGTGTGAAACCAATCATAAAATCCAGACCATTTTCTAGAGATGGATTCGGGAGAAGCTCTATCCTGAAATCCCTGCTATGCTTTTCCTATGAGAAATGGCATTGGATTGCACAGGACTGAAAAATGCTAAGAAGGAAAGTGGAGGGGGGGAGACTCCAGGCTCCTTTCCAAATGCCTTAGACAACATCAATGCCTGAGGCGGGACTTGAAACACCCCTGAGTTACTTGGAATAGCTCCTTGCCCTCCCCCAGCCCCCAGCCCAATCCCCCCTGCCCCCGTTGTTGGTGGTGGTATTGTGTTTTGTTGATGTGTTGTGTTTGGGGGAGGGGTACTGATACTGGGGCTTGGACTCAGGGTCTGGGGTGCCATCCCTGAGCTTTTTCAATAAAGTCTGGCACTCTACCACTCGAGCCACACCCCAACTTGCAGCTGTATTTGCTAGTTCATTGGAGATTAAGAGTCTCCTGGACTTTGCTGCCTGGACTGGCTTTGAACCAAGATCCTCAGATCTCAGCCTTCTGAGGAGCTACACTTAGGGTTTTCAAGGACAGGGAGCTACCTGCCCATGTGTTTCTGTCCGGACAGCTGATGGAAGCCAGGCATATCTAGAAGCTGGAAGTTTCAGTCACGAACCAGAGTCTCTAATGAGCACCTTGGAGCTGTCTGCTCCTGATTTGTAGCAGCGGTGGAGGAGGGAAGGGCCGGGTCTTCTCGGGACATCCTCAGCAGACCCTTAAGTTAGGAGTCGGCAGGCAGGTTCGGCGGCGCTGCGCACTGTTGCTTTGAGCCTGGCGGTGTCTTTAGCAGAACCAAGGAAACAACGTGCACCGCCGCTCCCCGGGGGAGGGACGTCCTAAGGGATGTTTCCGAGGATTTTTTTCTCCTTCTCCTTCTTCTCCTTTTGCATCTGTGGCATCCCCCAGAGATGTTTTATACCAATGTGGCCCGAGCAAGATGGCAAGCAAAGACTGCAGGGTAAAATTAGGGGCTGCCTAAGCGGCTAAGGAGTGTGTGTGTGTGTGTGTGCGCGCGCGCGTGTGCACGCATGCGGGACGTGCAAGCCAAGTGCACTGAAATGCAGCTCCTGTCTTCTGCCTGCAAGGAGTTGCTTGGTCCCCCCGCTCCCCCCCTCGCGTCCTCCCTCCCCTCTCCGTGGAGCGCGGATCTCTGGGGGTGGGAGGGGGCGGAGTCCGTGCCGTCCTGGGCTTGCTGGACCCCGGGCGGGCGGGGTGGACCCGGGCTCCGGTGCCAGGCGCGGCGGTTGGCTGGCGGCCGCCCAATCCCGGGCCATGCCGCCCGCGCCCGGCCAGCGCGCACGCTGAAAGCCGAGTTCCGAGGCAGCAGCCGGCGGCGGCGGCGGCGTTGTCCAGGGTCGGGGAGAGGATCGCGGGTGGTGGGGTTGCCCCGGGAGATCGTGGCTGCAGCTGTGATCGCCTGAGGGGGGAGACCCACACACACGCGCGCACACACGCACACCCCACCCCAGGCTGGGAGGGAAGGAGGCGGCATGGCCTCGGTGTTCATGTGCGGCGTGGAGGACCTGGTGTTCAGCGGCAGCCGCTTCGTGTGGAACTTGACCGTGTCCACGCTGCGGAGATGGTACACGGAGAGGCTGCGGGCGTGCCACCAGGTGCTGCGGACGTGGTGCGGGCTGCGGGACGTGTACCAGGTGAGCGGGGCGCGGCCCCAGCCCTCCCCCGGCCCCGGCGGGATTCGTGGGAAGCCGGCTCCACCTGTAGGATTGCACGGCTCGCTCCCCTCCCCCATCGCCACTGCAACTCCGAGCAGGTGTCTGCGCTCTGGGGGAGGGGAGGGGGCTGCCGGGCTCCGCAGCGCCCGGGGCTGGTGGGGCAAAACGCCTGCAGCTGGGCCTAGGGACGGGATGGGGGGGGAGGCTGGGGGGTTCCTAGTCACCCCCTCCCCCCAGCCCGCGCAGATCTCCCCTTCCCAGTGAGGATGGGGTGCTGAGGGGGCACCCAGCTCTCGCAGACCTCCCCTTCCCAGTGAGGATGGGGTCCGGGGGGGCGCCTGGAGCTGCGGGGTAGAGGACCTGCTGCAGAAAGTGCCTTTGGCCCTGGGAGATGGGCTGCTTCCTTTCGCGCCTCAGCGCCGTGGGGGTGGCACTTGGGAGGGGAAAGGGTTCACCCCCGCCGGCTGTCAGAGCAGAGCGCACTGGAGGCGCACTCTTCCTTTTCGGGTTATTTCAGTTTTCCATCAGGTAAGCCCCCAACTTGCAAAGGTAGAGCCAGGAACATCTGATTAGGTGTCAGCTGGGGCTTGGGAGGAAGGAAAGCAAAAGGTGAACACTTCCTAGGAGGCTGATGGGAAGGGAAGAGTGGCTTGGCTGTGCACCTGAGTGCTTACCTTTCCATTTACTCTCGTAAGCACAGCACAACCTTTCTCTGCTGGGTCCCACACTGCAGGCCAAACAGTGCGGCCACTTCCCTCAGCTAGGTGACCCCGAGCCCCCTCTGGGGCTGCAGCTTGCCTGGGTGTTTTCTTATACAGAACTTTATCGATTTAAAAGTACTATGCTAGCAGGGTGCTGGTGGCTCACGCCTGTAACCCTAGCTACTCAGGTGGCTGAGATCTGAGGATCAAGGTTTGAAGCCAGCTCAGGCAGGAAAGCCTGTGAGACTCTTATCTCCCATTAACCACCACCAAAAAATAAAAATAAAAAATAAATAAAAGCCAGACATCAAGTTATGGCTCAAGTGGTAGTGTGCTAGGCTTGAGTGGACAAAGTTGAGAGATAATGCCCAGGCCCTGAGTTCAACCCCAACACACACACACACACACACACACACACACACACACACACAATATTGTGCTTTGGTTTAATATCTTTGCGAGGTTTTTAATTGCACTGTTAAACTAGGAAAATTATACTTGGGTTCATGAAAATACTCTATTACTGTCTTTCTTGTGATACAGAATAGCTTTGTTGGAAGTTCCTAGGTTCCCCTACACCCTAAGCTCATTCCTGACATGGTAGAATGTATATGTCATTATATTGTGACCCACATTAATCACATACACACTTGGTTGTTTTTTGTTTTGTTTTGTTTCATCAATCAAGCAAAATGAGAAGTCTCCAGCACCTAAGGTTGGACTATCAGAAGTCTAAAGTATTCGTGTCCTCTTGTCACCCTTGTTAAACTATAACATTTTAACTTCTGCTTTTAGACAGTTCCTGCTTTATATAACACATCTGCCATATCGTGCATTTTTGAAATGGAATCTAAAAGCCACATTGTGAGCAGCAGCGCGCACGTGGGGGAGGGGAGAGTATTAGGGCAGTGTGGACGCATCCCATCTGGCTACAAGACACAGCTTCTCTGGTTTTTAGGACCCAGAGATGTGTTAGCCTTTCAAGTCTTTCTCTGTTGATTAGTCGCCTCTTAGTTTGGTTTATAGGGGAAAAGTATGATGTATAATTTTGCTTTTCCTTCTTAACATTGGAGAAACTTTCAAAAGGAGAAGAGAACACAAATATCATAGCCAACCAGACCAGTTGTGGGCTTCACCCCACCCCCAGCAAAGGTTCAGGGGATTTGTGGCTTATCTCTAATGTTGTTAGTGGCCAATTCAGAGATGAAGGTTCTCGAAAACTGAGGGAGGTTCTGTGAGTCCATCATAAGATTGATGACTAATTGTTTTAAACACCGCAATAAATTGAAGGCATCAACTACCAGATACCTATTCTCTTCTGTCAAATGGATGGTAACTGAGTCATTCCCTCTCACTGCCATCAGAATGAACATCGAACATTATGCCTCGTTTGGGCACTGAGTCATAAAGAGAAGAAAAGGGATCTCAAAAAATTGGAGAAATCTTTAAAAAAAATCAGCTATAGAAGAACAACGATAATCTCAATTGTATAACATATTTGCAAAAAAATGGGATTTTTTTAGTTTACTTTGACTTTTTTGTTTGTGTGCTGGGGATGGGATGCAGGGTCTTGCATGGTCTGGGCCATGACATAACCACAGAGCTACATACATCCCCAGCCCCCAAAAATCATTTAAAAAACTCATACTTTTAAGTACTGAGTAAGGGAGTAGTAGCTTCAGTTATATAAAAGTAAAAAGACAGCCGGGCGCTGGTGGCTCACGCCTGTAATCCTAGCTACTCAGGAGGCTGAAATCTGAGGATCGCGGTTCAAAGCCAGCCCGGGCAGGAGAGACTGTGAGACTCCTATCTCCAATAAACTACCAGAAAACCGGAAGTGGCGCTGTAGCTCAAGTGGTAGAGCGCTTGCCTTGAGCTGAAGAGCTGAGGGACAGCGCCCAGGCCCAGAGTTCAAGCCCCACGACCGACCAAAAAAAAAAAAAAAGTAAAAAGACAGTAAATGAATGTGATTTATGAACAAGTGAGTGAATCCAACATTTTCCTCTGTATGACCGTGGGGAAATTAATCTTTTACTATGCTTCTCTTTCATCATTTATAAAGTGGGGAATATAATCATAGTAATCACAGAGGTTATGAGGATTAATTGGCACGTAAAATAATTAGCACACAACTTGGATCTTAGAAAATATTCAATTAATGTTTTATCAATTTGGTCATCTAGGATGGTTTTTAATTGGGACAGGGAATGTAACTCAAAAGTAACCTACAGAATAAAAAAATAAATGTGACCTTTGACACAATGTACAAGTGTAGCAGTAGATGGATTTTAAGTATGGTTTGATCAGGGCATGTTTATGTCCTATCATTCTTTCAGCCCTATTCTTTTGTGTTTTTTGGGGAGGTCCGGTCGTGGAGCCTGAACTCAGCTCTCTGGGCGCTGTCCCTCAGCTCTTCAGCTCAAGGCTAGCGCTCTACCACTTGAGCCACAGCGCCTTTTCCGGCTTTTTTCTTTTTGCTTATGTGGTGCTAAGGAATTGAACCCAGGGCTCAGGTGTGCAAGGCAAGCGCTCTACCACTGAGCCACCTTCCCAGCCCCTCAGCCCTATTCTTATTTGTTGGCTATACCCTTGCCTGGTGTCATCTCTCATATATACAATAGCTCTATATATTATCTATGTAGAAAGAAAAAGAATTCATGTTTACCAACCATGAAAAAAACTTCCTAGATATACTTTCAGTGAATAATTAAAATTCCATTTTAGGGTCTATGCATTGCATTGTAATTATTCTCTGTGGAAAAGATAAGATCTGAAAGGAGTGAAAATTGATTTGGGGGGAGAGAGAGCAAACCTCCACAACTTCCTCCTTGGTTGAGGAGGAAGGGCAAGAAGGCTAGGTATAAAAGGCAGCTAAGCCAGGCAGTGGCTCATGCCTGGAATCCTTTCTTTTCAGGGCACTGAGATGTGAGTCTGAGGGTCTGAGATCTGAGAGTTCAAAGCCAGCCAGATCAGGAAAGTCTCTGAGACTCTCATGTCCACTTAACCCCCAAACAGCTAGAAGTAGAGCTGTGGCACAAGTGGTAGAGAACCAACTATCAGAGGGAACAGTCCACTGTCCAGCACATATGATGATCTGGAAGCACACATGAGACAGTTACATATTTTAATGAGTCCAGTCTTTTATCATCTTGATAAATTTTCAAAGGTGTCATTTTTCTTGATTCAGAATAGTCTTGGTTGTAAGGAAAACCACAGCTCCATCACTCTGGAGAGAAACCAAGGCCAGGCAGGAGATATTGATTACACTCAATCCCCGGCAGGCCCTTGGGGGTGTTTTGTTTGTTCATATACAGTAAGTGAAACAAGATCTCCTGCCTATTCACAAGGTGTTTGGCGTGTTGGCGGCCTGGCTAGCAAAGCTGGGAAGGCCTCATTTCTTTGGAATTGAACACTTCCTCCCCCTCCTAGATATTGGAACAGCAAGTGATTTCAAGTGCCAACAAACCACGCATAATTAAGGTACTTGCTATAAGGTATTTTCTGTAGCAAACTAAATCAAAAGCAGGCAAATGCTGTATGGGGTTGCCTTTGACAAAGACTTAATTTATAAGTAACGAATTCAGTCCCCGTAGCTGACATGAGAAACCCATTTGTAAGTGAGGCTGAATCCTAAACGCTGATTTGTCCACCATGTGCCTATCCTGTGTTATATCTTTTCTGGGTGGGCTGCATTACAGCAATTCATTGGGTTTAATACACAAAGGAGGCAGAAAATGATGGGGAAATGATGTTGCCAAAAGATCAATATTTGAGGGGTTTTTATTAAGTTCTAATAAAGCACTCAGTTTGTTACCTGGGGTTGGGTTTTCTTTCCCCCAGTGTCTGAGAGGTAGAATTACTTGTAAACCCTGAATAGAGGCATTGCTTCCAGCGGGAGGCAACTTGAACAGAATCCGGAATGCTTAAGGGACCCAAAGAGTCTGGGTCAGCTCCCCCGGGGCAGCTGGCACCAAGGGTAGGCACACATTGCAGGTCTCAGGTAGAGGAGTCTGAAGGCTCCGCCCCAAAGGACTTGACCTTGAGCAAGCCACTACCCTTCTCTGCTCCTCGATTTTCTTCTGCATAGGGGAGGAAAGCAGTAACAGCTGCATCATGGGATAGAGGGAGGGATTCATGAGACAATACAGGCAACACTTGACACCTTGTGAGCACAAAGCAAATAAGTGCTCAGTAAACATTAGTTCTTGGTTATGGAAAGTCCTCAACAGTGAGCTCAGAGGAGGTGTGTGGTAATGGTACCTAAGAGTATCATTATTG